CAGGCTCGGGGGTTTTTCTTTTCGAAGGAAAGAAGTTAACAATAATATTTGATAATCCAACAAAGCTGACGTAATAAGTGAGCAATGCTGTGTTGCTTTGATCGATGCCACAGTTCCGTCTAACAATGATGTCATTAAAAAGGAAGCGAGGAAACGCACGCATGAAGTGACGAGACTTAGAAAATGGAAACCCAACGACTAACAAATAATGAAAACAGTGGGTAGTTGTTGACAACGATGTCAGTATGAGTTTGCTGAATCGGGGCGCCATAGATACGCTACTGAGTTTAAATCATGACTATTCCTCGGTCGTAGGACCCACGCAATCCTCATAATATCATGGATGACATCTGCATCCAACAGTGTTAACAAAGAATTGAAAGCGCCCTGCTATTTTGGATCCGCGCAGTGAAACCCGCCGCGCGCCGTCGGCGCCCCAGCGGCCAGTGCAGGTGAAGTGGCGAGTGTATGGACATTTAAAACGCCTTTACTTCCGTGCGTAGGCAACACGGACATCCACGGAGCCCGAATAGTCGCATCCAAGCGCTATAATGATACTTGTTTAGTGCTCGTTTAAGCGGTGCGTGCTGAAAGGCCAAAACGCCTTCAACTCCGTGCATATGCAACACGGGCATCCACGGAGCCCGAATAGTTGCATCCAGGCGTTATAATGATATTTGTTAAGTGCTCGTTTAAGCGGTGCGTGCTGAAAGGCCAAAACGCCTTCAACTCCGTGCATATGCAACACGGGCATCCATGGAGCCCGAATAGTTGCATCCAGGCGTTATAATGCAGTTCATTTAGTACCCGTCGCGTGCCACACTAAGTGAGGCTTCAATTGTTCCCCTTACACTTTACGTTCATTCCAGCGTCGCCAAATGTGCCGACGAAGAAAATCATCGCTGATTTTTATCGCTGCATGTATTACAACGTTGCCGACCCTCAAAATCGCAAAAAAATTAGGTGCGTGAAATGGACGTATTTCTATCAAACAGATTTATGTGGAGGTGAGAAATATCGACGGTGAAACTACCAAACCACGTATCTCGGTTTGCGACGTCGTAGACTTCCTGTCATACTTTATTTTTTAAATAAAAAACTACTTAACGTCCAGTCTTGAAAAATTTTGTGATTTTTCCTCATCGTGCGGAGAAAATTCCGTGAAAATTTCAAGGAATGATATTGATTTGGTCTACTTCAAAAAAATAAAATGCGAGCGTAGATTTTTAAACACCGCAAACGAGATACGTGGTTTGGTAGTTTCACCGTCGATATGGGCTGTGCTCCTCAGTCCTCTGGCCGTAAGAGTGAATAAGAATAATAAAGCGCCAGTGACGTCAACGGAGATGGATGCAGTCGTAGCGGCTCCTCGTAGTGGTCTTTAAGTCATAAGCCCTGTCCACGACGCTCTCGTGCCATGCCCGCGGCTCATACATCCCGCTTTCAGTTGGCACTTAATTCTGTTTGCTGGAATAAAAATCCCGCTTATCCAATTCTTCAAAAGGAATCACGCCCACTTTTACATTGTTCCTTATGCAGCTTTCTAGAGCACACCCCATATTTCTCGCCTGCACATAGTTCTGTTCGATAGAAATACGTCCATATAACGGTATGCAGAGTTTCCTTTTGCAGCTGCTTCGATGAGTTGTCGTTTATTTTGAATTTGTTTTTTTTTCCCCCTCTTAGAAAACTAAGACGCTTAAGTACGAAATTTTGAGCGCAAGGACAATCCTAATGAATCGACCGGATTTGAAACAAAAACGGCGACCACTGGTTCTTTAAAAAAAAAATGATATGCGACAGGAAATCTGTACCATCATAAACGCTTAATCTCCGGAAGCAATGGTGGAAGTAGCACGATAAAGTCTGGAACGTATATTGAAGGGAATTATTTAATGGTCTCTCCGCGTAAATCTCCATAACTTCAGAGAATCCTCCGTTTTTCACCAAAAATAGCAATTTTGAGCTCTTCAGAGCTCCCTGATAAAAATTGGCAGTAGAATGTGTGTTCCAAAATACTGTAGACCTAAAGCCGGCTGTAAGATTTCCAATAGCTTCTGTAGCCGGCTGTACAATATCTTATAGCCTTTTATAGCCGATGGCGATTCAGCAACAGCCAGACGATAAATTTTATGCTAAACGTTACTAAATACAGATACTAGGACTTAGTTAGTTTTTGGACAACCGCTCTTTTTTTGTGCCGTAGTATCTTGATTTATTTTGCGAGGAAAGCTCCGTACTTTTGAAGGATGCCTCAATATCTCTGGTGTGAAATAGTTGCTTCAGACGCCGTGGCACGCTGCACGCATTGCGCAATGCGTGAAGTATCCCTGTTAGGTTTGTAGGCGCCAGTGCGTCGCCGCGCAATGCATGAAGTATCCCTGTTAGGTTTGTAGGCGCCAATGCGTCGCCGCGCAATGCATGAAGTATCCCTGTTAGGTTTGTAGGCGCCAATGCGTCGCCGCTCCGCTTTGTGTTAGGCTCTAATATTTAATCTCGCGGAGTCAGCGTTTGTCAACTATGATTTTGAAATGTTTGCACACTCTGTATGGGCCATCTCCTTTTAATTGATGAAAAAAAATATGTTTTAAAGGAAAATATAATGTGTGTTTTGTAAATATTAAGGTAGTTCCTTATCAAACTTAATGATTTCCAAAGCACACGAATTTCTATACAATTTCTTATAGCCTTTTATAGCCGATGGCGAGAAAGTGTTAAGGAACTATAGCCCGACTGTATACTTTTTTATAGCTTCGTTTAGCCCGGCTATATGATTTGCTCCGCCCTCTACAGCCAGCTATATGATTTTCAATAGCCTTCTTTAGTCGGCTATAAGAACTCCTATGGTATTTTGAAACGCAGCTCGTATCGCCAATTTTTACCAGGGTTCGGACACGCATCTCTTAATTTTACTCCAAAAACGTCTATTATCAGCGCAATTCTTGGGTCTATCGCAACGCCTCATTGGCGAGCTACCAATAGGATCGCTCCATTTGCGATAGCAGGATAAGGCTTCCGGTCTTCTGCCAGAATATGGGGCAACACAGAGTTGCCATACGAGTAAAGACTTGACCCAGGCAGTTAACAGCGGTGCACAAGGAAGACGAGGAGCCTTTAGCCCAGGCATGCTTTGCGATATATCGATTGATCCGCCATTTAAACCTATGGAGAAGGATCGATAAACAGGGTAAAATAATCGATTCTTTACCACAGCTTCGAATGGGAAAATATCGATAGTCGATTCACGCCTCGCTCCTATAGTTAACATGCGCAGTGTTCAAATTGAGTCGTACAACGAAAAGTCCGGATAGGTATATCGCTGCCAAGCCTCAATGGAGTTCTCCTCTTTGAATTGTTGATTTTTGGAATAAACGATCATACAAGTGCCCCTTTTCATTTTTAGCACAAAAAACTGTTTGAGAACTACTGATTTAAGTACGTTTCAACTTTCAATATGAGTCATTGATGAACCCCTAACGAAGCTTCAGCCCTCTGGTATTAATCAATCTTATCAATAGTTTCTCTCGATCAATAGTTCGATTAACTTATAGTCTTATCAATCTTATCAGATTAATCGTCAATCTTAGTCAATAGTTCGATTTAAAATACGTTAGCGCCGGGATTTGAGGAAGTCAACTTTATAGCTTGAAATTTTCAAGGAATATTCTACGAACGGAGAAGAAAAAGCAGGGAAGTTTTTGGGAAATTATGTTGGCTAGTTTTTCAAACGAAAAATAAAGTATGACAGGAAGTTCGCAACATCTCGCACTTCGGCCGTAATTCGAAGAAATCGGAGAGGGCGGGAATTCGGCACTTTCACCAGGCAAGACAACCGAAATTTCCAAAAAATCTCATGTTGACAAAAATACGTCTACTGAGGAAAAAAGAAGCCAACAACTTACGCTTGCGNGTTTGGGGGGGGGGGGAGGAGGGTGGTCCTCACTAGACCCTCCTTGCGGCGCTTCGGGGTGATCCTCCCCGTGCGTCCATCCCGCGAGGTATATATTTTCCAAAGGGCGGCTTATCTTAAAAAAAAAATACTCAACACCCCCCTCCCTCCAGCTCACCATTCAAACTTTCGAAACTCCCTGCTGGTCACAGATCGGGTCGATTGCGCTCAAAATTCATACCGGTTCAGGCTCGGATAGAAGCTGCAAATCATGAAACTTCCAGCTCAATTTACTTAAGACACAGGATTGACCATCTTTGACCCCCCCCCCTCCCCTGGGTCTGGACCCTCAACAACCACAACACCAATTTCCGGTTCCTCTCCATCAGTGACAGTCCTAATGGTGAACTGATCATCATAAAAAGTTTGGTTCGGAAGTCTTGATAATCGGAAAACGAGGACTTTCGAAGAGTGCTGGGTGTCGATTAGCTTCCCAAAAGTGTTCCTCAGACTTGGCCTAAAACGACTTTCATCTCAGAGCTACGCTCTCTGCCGTGCTGAGGAAAAACGCCGTACGAGCCTTCAGAAGTTGCCAAGTTTCCTCCGATAAAAACCGAATTTACCGGGAAAATTGCGATTATTATTTTCCAAAATTTTCAGACGATTTTGTACGCAATTTAATCTAAAATATCTGAAGATTTTGAGGACAAACATGCGCAAATGTTGTATAAAATACATGTTTTATCAAGGAAAATTTGGCAACTTTCGAATGTTCTTACGGCGTTCTTCCTTAGCGCGACAGTACGTACTACGCACCGCGAACGACGCGACGTAACAAACGATTCGGTTACGCGGAGATGACCAAAACCGAACGAGTGAATCGACCCTTTTCGAAAGAGAGCATCTCGGCTGACACCTGAACTGCGAGCAGCGGGATATTTCATAAAAAAAAACAAGCGCGCAGCACGCGTTGGATCCACGCCGAACTTACGCGATCTAGTTAAGACTCTCATTAAGTGCTGATAAGATTGGGAGTAAACAAAAAAAGCTCTCCTAATCAGTGGCCCGGGGTGAACGAATGAGATAACCGAGAGTGGAGCAAGCAACATACCTAGAGTCGAATTTAGTCCCGTCTTGTAGAGTTCCGGTATAGTGCATGGTGAGCATGTCCCCGGACTTGGATTTCTGGGTGCAGACCTCGGGGGTGAAGAGGTGCTCGATTTTGAGGCCGTCCGGGGTTTCAGAGATCTTGCTCTCGGCGGCGGCCACCGTGAGGAGGACGGCCAGGGCGAAGAGGTAACACACGAGCGTAGGGAACATGGCGAACACGTAATCACAGAATCATACGCACTGAGATACTGAGCACTGACGTCCGCGACCCGCAGCGAGCGGGAGCAGCGACGCGCCGCCGGAGCCGAGCGTCCGAGTGGGAGGCGGGAGGGGAGTTGAAGTCGTGGCACTCGTGGATGCCCGCGGCCGCCACCGATGCCGCCGGTGCGCCACGGAATTCCACCTCCCAACGCTCGACGACCACGTCACTCCTCGACTTCTTCGGCATCAGCTGCAAGCTCGACGCCCCGGCCCCACCGGGCGTGGAGCGCTTTGGTGTAGCGTCATCGCTGCCGCCTCGGTCAACTTCGTGGTTCACTGCTCTGGCGCTTACCTCTGCTTCGGCCCCGGCTTACCTGGGCGTCGAGTTGAGCAACAGCAGCTTCCGCGTCTCCACACCCGTCTTCTCATGCCGTGCTCAGGAAGAACGCCGTATGAGCCCTCAGACGTTGCCAAGTTTCCTTCGATAAAAACGGAATTTACTGGGAAAATCGTGAAAATGCCCCGCCTAATTTTCCAGAGTACGTTCTTCGCAATGGGATCTAAAGTGTCAGAAAATTTCAAGTGGAAATATTCAATATTGGTCTCGAAAATTAATATTTTAAGAGGGGAGATTTGGCAACTCTCGGATCTTCGTACAGCGCTTTTCCTTAGCACGATAGAATACTCCGTTTAGATCCGTTGAATTCGTCAATTCTAGGCGACACAGGTTGCCTAACCTAGAGCAAGGTGTCTAGCATCAGGATTTTCCTGATTTTCCCGATTCTACGAACGGGGTGGGGGCTGGGATTCGATATACGAATTTACTGGGAAAATTGTGGATATTTTTTTCCAACATTTTCAGACAATTTTGCACGCAATTTCATCTAAAATATCTGAAATTTTCAAATAAATTGTGCATGCATATCGTCAAAAATACATGTTTTATCAAGGGAAATTTGGCAACTCTCGAATGTTCATACGGCGTTCTTCCTTAGCACGGCAGTCTTCCTCTGCAGTCACCTACCCGAAACCATTTCCCACAATCCCCTAGCGTTGACGTCCAGACTTCAGTTTTCACTGAAACGATCTCCGCTCAACTAAGGAGCCGGCCGCCCGTAAATTAAGTATCGCTCTTTATCGGATTTTTGATCCCCCTCCCCCGACCCTCCCCCATTGTAATGCTTTGGTAACGTTGGCTCCTATGCATTAACTCGGAAAAACAAAATGGCGTAACACTCTCTTCGACCCCCCTCCCCCCTTCCTCGTTACACTATGGACGTATTTCTGCCAAACGGAACTATGTGCATTAAGACATGAGCCCTGAGACCCATGAGAATAAGTGCATAACAGGGCTGACGCCACAATGCACTTAGTTCCGTTTGGCAGAAATACGTCCTATTAACGCCTTCGACCAGTAAATGGCCGTATTTCTATCAAATGGAGCTAAGCGTCAATTTGAGTTCCTTTTGGGGAATTTAGAATCCCGGATAGCGCGTTCTGTCAAACGGACCTAAGCGCCATGGACTGGAAAGCCGTTGGAAGCGCCGTTTGACTGATGTATGGAGGATGATACCACTATTCGACCACATGGGAGCTCGTGTTGCCTACTTTCTATATTGAAGGCAAACTGACAAGCCGTTAAAAAGCCTAGCTTCCGGTTTGGTAAAACATTCTTATTTGGGGGTGTTCCAAGTGTACGCTTGCTACTTTATTACAATACCACCATCCAACCACGTGGGAGCTCGCGTTGCCTACATTAAAAATTGAAGGCGAACTGACATGATGGGCTGAATTCAAATTTGATCAGTTTCGAGTATTTTCAAAAACTTGAGCTCAAATCCGATGGCCGACAGAAACTCCTGTACAACGACACGCCGAGAACTTGAATTTCCATGAGACGGATTCAGACACCTCGAACGGATGGGGGCGTAAGGGGGGTTGGTTGGCCTCCCTCGGAAAGTTTTTGAATTTTTGAAGTATCTAATAAGCAGTTTAGGTCAATCTCGTGATGAATAACTATCAAATATAAGCCTTCCCTTTCCTACGTCCTCCCGTCTTCCTTTCTCCTCTTGTTCTTCCTCTTTTTTCTCAGGAAACAGGTGAGAGGGGGGTGTACACGCCTTACGCCCCCCTGGATCCGCCTATATTTCGAGCCGTCAATTCGGCATCGCTGAGACGTGCAACACTGTTCGGTTGATTCGAATGACGTCATCCGGTTCGCTAATCGCTGAGTCGTTGACCGGAAGTGACATCAGCCAAGACTATCGGTTGCGGCAGACGCGACAGGAGCCCCGATGAACTTGGGTCTTGGACTCGTAGATTGAAACGCGACGATTGAAAAGGAAGAGGAAAACGGAGACGAAGATCAAAGCTGAGTGCCCTCAGAATTCAAAAGCCAATCTTCCTTTCACCTGGGCCGCGGCCGGCGCCAAGACCTAGCCTTTCTCCTGCACTTCCTATGCAACCCACAACTGATTGCCGAGTTCGCCTGCTCCTCTTTACTTTCTTCTCGTCCGGGGAGTTGCTCATTCTCTCCCGCTTATCGCATAGCCCGATTCCCGTCACACCACATTCATGGAATGAGGAAAAAAAATTATATGAGGAAAAAAATTATATGAGGAAATGGCAACGTCAGGGGAGTGCGAAGGGGGGGGGCATGGGGATTTGTCCTCGGTGGATTGAATATAGTATAATTTACNATAATTAACCCCCCCCGCCCCCCCAGAAATTTTAGATGGTGAGAAAAAACCTTCGTCGAGTAGTCTTAAATGAAAATACGGTGCTTATTCAGTTGTCATTTTCTAGAATTATCGTAGAGGCCTCAAATTGCGTCCAAAAAGAGTTAAAATTTCAATGAATTGAACGTATTTCTATCAAACGGACCTAAGCGCCATGGGGTGAGGAAGGTAGAGGGGGGCTTGGATTGGCGGCGGAATCGGGCGTCCGGCTTATTCCGTCCTATACTCGCAATGCTTTTCCATGGCGCTTAGGTCCGTTTGACAGAACGCGCTATCCGGGATTCTAAATTCCTCAAAAGGAACTCAAATTGGCGCTTAGTTCCGTTTGATAGAAATACATCCAATTATAAGATGTGTTGAATGCGACAATTCGAAAGGCAAACATCTTCTCTTTTTTCTGCTGAAAGTGAATTAAGGTGCACAATTTTTCAGTGGAAATTCATGGAAAATCTGCGTCACGGAAGCCTGAAAATGTGTCCTACATGTAAAATTTGAAACATTTTCCAGAGGTGTTCCGGATCCCCCTCTAAACAGGGGGGGAGGTATTCCTTCCACTTAACTCCACGGTAGTGGGGGACCAGGCCCCCGCTAGCAAAATGGCCTAACTACACCCGTGGGCAATGTTCCTCATCTCTGTGCGTGTTTTTGACCGGCCAGTGGCTGAAAAATTACTTGCGAAAAATTAGCGAACGTATTTTAGGAAGTGAACTCTGAGAATTCCTCCTCCTCCTCTTGTTCATGCGATCCTCCAAAAATGAATAGAGTGGGAGGAGTCCCGCGTCATCGCGTCCGTGCTACATAGTAAAAAGATGGACTTTAAAGAATTTTCTGGCACACCTAATAACTATACGAAACTTACTCCGACCAGTGCGCCTTCAATATGTCGATAAGCAGCATGTGTGGCGTGAGAGCAGCAATAACTCGCAGCATTTTGCCCACGTTCACTCGGTTTATTCATAGCTGCAGCAGCTTGACACTTTACTCGCAATGTTTCTGACTTGTTTCGACCAGTTGACCAGTTTCCCTTCAATATTTCGATAGGTAAAGGACATTTTTTAACGATGTTCCATTTTTTGGAACGTGAGCATCATTGACTTGAAAGTCATTATTGATGACCAAAGAGTGAAAGTGAAACCGAGTACCTCCGTCTGCTATGCCGCAGACTCCCTGTCATACTTTATTTTTCCATTGGAAAACGAAACAATGCAATTTCATGAAAATCTCCTTGACTTTCCTTTTTTATAAGCAAAATAATCCCTATGAGGTCCAAGCCATACATTTGACTTGTTTCTTTTAGAAAAAATAAGAAAGGAACGAAAATTTTGAAACACCGCAATGGAGGTACGTGATTTCGCACTTCGGCTATCTTTATGTTAGTTTTGATGCAATTGGAACGGGAAAAAGATTCCAGTGCTCCTCGCTCCAACGGCACCACTGAAAAGTCGGCTCAATACTGCCGTGCTAAAGGAAAACGCTGCGTGAGGTTTTAGACTAAAAACCGAACTTACTGGGAAAAATGTGAATATTTTTTTGTCGAAGTTTGCAGATGATTTTGTTCGCAATTTGCTTTAACATATCTGAAAATTTCACGGACAAATATGCATAACTTTCCTCAAAAATACATGTTTTATCTGGAGAAATTTGACAACTCTCGGATGTTCATGCGGCGTTTCTCCTCAGCACAGCAGAATTTGTCGATTCAATTGTTGTTTTCTGATCATATTTTTGTCTTATTATTTAGGTATACTGGAATTTTTACGAGTGTCACGTTATTGGGCTGCGAGTCACGCTCTAAGGGCTTGGTCGCGTAACAGCCAGGGGGTGTACTGTCTAGCTGTTATACAAGTGGAAGCGTTATATCAAATCTTTATCGGAATACCGATGCTCAACTTTATTTTCCCAAAAACGTGACTCAGGTACCTTTCCGCTTTGAGGCACTGAATTAGAAACAAAGAAAATTGTGTCAAGAAATTTTGACGGAATTATCCTCTCTCCTCTAATCAAATCATTTTTAAGACGCTCGATGGTTATAGGACATTTTGTCAACGATTTTTTGTCCGCGCACCTGTTTTCTCAGTAATTTACGTCCACGCGTTTTTCGGCACGGAGGCTTTGGTCCACGTGCCAGTTGAGACCCAAAGTTAATTGGTCCACATGTAAATACAAACGACAATTCCTCACGACGTTTTTGGATGAAAATGTATAATGTCTTGGAAGAATAAGGGTTTGCTTGTTTTTTTTTTTTTGTTGTTGTTTTTGTTTGGTTGTTTGATCCAACGGAGAATAATATATAATTGCGATTTTTCGTAAAAATAAGGGAGTGTAAATTCCATGAGACAAAATTCACTAAAAATCTCT